GCTCTAATACACTCAATTGAAGTCACCCACTCGCGATTTCCAGCTTGTAAGAGAGCTCTTTTTCCGTGGTATTCAGCTGAGGTAATAATCCTTTGTGTGGTACCAACTCCCATAGCAAAACCAGACTCATCAAAGTTGAAAATATCATCCGAAGTGATACCCCACTTTTCAACGGTATTTTGGACCAAATCAAACCATGGTTTGATAATTCGAGGGTCCTCTGAAAGAGCCCTCTGATAGTCGTATTTTCGAGATAATCGTGTGGACAAATTTGGATGTCGTTTGACAAAGTGAGATGCCCAATCTCTACCAACGATCAAGTCCAAGCCTCGGATCTCTCCCAACCGGGCGTATGCCTGTTTGTGTCTAAAAGGCTTGACCCGAGCACTTGGTCGTGTCAACTCGTCTCACAGGACTACCAGTTACTGAAACTTAGAAAGGCTCATCAGGGCAGAGACTGGACAGATCTATTCATACACAACATATACAATAGGCCGGGCAGCAATACTCTTAGACATCTAAGAAATGAGCTGTCAAAACGACCTCATGGAGAACACATCATCCTTGGAGATATGAACCCGCATCACCCGAGATGGGGAGGAACAGGGACCAGGCCCGATCAGGAGGCCGAGCAACTCCTAGAAATCGCCAATGAATGGGGACTCGAGTTGACGACCCAACAAGGCAGACCTACCTGGTCTCGAAACGATCAGTCGTCGGTGATTGACCTCACCTTCATCACATTCAACCTGGTCAACAGGCTTATCAATTGCGAGAGGGCGGATGACATCGAGCACGCATCCGACCATTTCCCGATCAGGACTGTGCTTGATATTATTACACCCATTGCAGTACAACAGAAGAGAAGAAACTGGAACGCAACTGATGATCAGAAACTCATCCAGAAGATCGAAGGAGGTCTACAGGCAGGAGGCCTATACCAGGCAGATCCGCAGAGGATAGAAGCCAAATGCCAGGAGCTAATGGGTGTGATCCAGTCAGCAATCGAGGAACCAACACCATGGGCAAAACCATCCGCGTGGTCGAACCCCGACTTTGACGACGAGTGTAAAGTTGCGGTCAAAGAAGTTCGTCGCCTCCGTCGCAGACACACGAGAACCAAAGACCCCTACGACTGGATGTGCTACTCGGAAGCACGCAACAAGAAAACGCGACTCGTCAAGAAAACCTTGTCAAGAGCGCACCGGCGCCGAGTCCAGCAGGTCGTTGAAGATGGCCCACAGGGTATGTGGCGATTGGCTAAATGGGCAAGAAACCGAGACGGGGCATATGAGAAGGGTATCACCCCTTCGCTGAAAATACAAGATCCCCAAATGCCTGGAACTCTCGCGGAAACAGTTGAGCAAAAGGCAGAGGCATTCCGGACTGCCTTCTTCCCAAAACCACCGCCAGCCGATCTATCCGACACAGATTCATTCCTGTACCCACAGCAAATCGAGTTTCCAGCAGTCACCGCTCAAGAGATACAGGAGGCGGCGCGAGGAGCGAAAGCAGGGAAAGCACCCGGAGAAGACGGTATACCAAACTCTCTCTGGCACAAGCTTGGTGATTCTAGAAACAGTGGTCCAGTTATTCAACGCATGCATAAACACGGGGTACAACCCGTCACATTTCCAGCGCTCAATCACGGTGGTGCTCCGGAAGCAAGGCAAAAGTGACTACCAGCTCGCAAAATCCTACAGACCCGTGGCGTTGCTGAACACGCTCGGAAAGTTTCTGGAGGCAGTTGTCGCGCGATGGATCAGCTATGCAGCAGAAACCAACGGTTTACTCCCACGAACCCATCTAGGCGGACGAAAGGGTATATCCACCGATCATGCTATCCACATTATCATCGACCGAATCAAAACTGCATGGGGAAAGGGCAAGCCAGTGGTATCTCTGCTGATGCTGGACGTGTCCGGAGCGTACGACAATGTCTCCCATGAACGTCTACTACACAACGCCATGAAACGACGTCTGGGACACTTCGTTCCCTGGGTGAGGGCCTTCTTGACCAACCGAAGCACACGGATCCGCATGCCCGAGGGCCCATCTGATCGAATCCCGACACCTACAGGCATCCCTCAAGGATCACCTATCTCACCCATTCTATATCTCATCTATAACGCAGACCTCGTTGAGAACTGCGGTAACGGTGTGACTAGCAACGGGTGGGTCGACGATGTTTGCTTCATGACAAAGGGAGACAGCGAACGCGAAACCATCAAGAAACTCAGAGCGGCATGCCGCAAAGCCGACCAATGGGCCGAGAAACATGCATCAGTTTTTGACCCGAAGAAGTATGCACTCGTGCATTTTGTAAACACCAGGGAAGTCGACCCACAATACACATCGCTTTCTCTACGAGGACACACGGTGACAGCGACGAGGACGGCTGAGCGGTACCTAGGCTATTGGCTGGATCCGGGTCTGGAATTCCACCATCACCGCGAGAAAGCGGTGGCCAAGGCCGGTGTCTCTCTCCACGCACTACGAAGCCTGGCAGGATCAACGTGGGGAGCCTCACTCTATGCAATGCGAAAGATCTACCAAGCGGTGATAATCCCGCAGATGCTCTTTGGGGTTTCCGCGTGGTATCAACCTATGCTCATCAGTAAATACAAGGCACGCACAATCAGTAAGCCGTTCGCAGCAATACAAAAACAGGCAGCATGCCTCATTAGCGGAGCTTTCAAAACTACGGCAGCGGAGGCACTGAATGCAGAGCTTCACCTACCTCCTATCTCTGTTCACATGAATCGAATGGTGAAGGAAACGGCCCTTCGACTACGAACAGGACCGGAATTTGCGATCCCGCCCACGATGTTACGACGCCGACCGGCAGACGAGAGAGACTGGGCTGGATGGACACCAATGGAGGCGCAGGCCTGGAAGACGGACGGATGCCTCACGACTCTCCCGGGAACTTTCGCGAGGAACTGGGAGAATCGAAAGGCATTCGTCCAGGCACCATGGCAAGCGCCGCCGGAGGTAATCATCGAGGAAAGAGAGGTTGCGGTCAACCACCACAACCAGATCCTGACCAAAGACCCAAGAGAAAGACCCTTGATACTGTACACCGACGGGAGCGGGATTGATGCAAGGATCGGAGCGGCAGCGGTCGTGGACCTTGAGGATCAACATGCTCATAGCCAGATGGGAGATGATAATACGTCCACCGTATATGCGGCAGAGCTTCGAGCCATTGAGATGGCACTTGAAATGATTCTGGACAGCACAGAGCCATGGGCTAAGCAGGCGAAGAACGGGGTAGTCATCTTTGTAGACAGCCAAGCAGCGCTGAAGGCGCTGAGGCGACCGCGGATGCCGTCAGGACAGGTCTATCTAGCAGGATGCCTCAACCTGATCCGACAACTTGCGGGCAGAAGCATTCGGACAGAACTCAGATGGATTCCTGCGCACCAAGGAGTCATTGGCAACGAGATCGTGGATCAACACGCAAAAGAAGCGGCGCAGGAACCGGACGGGCTGCATAACCCTCTCAACCGAGACATACGTCTCGCAGCCGCAGCGAGACGACGAATTCGCAGAGAAGCGAAGCTGGAGTGGGACAGAACGTGGGCGAAGGAAACGACCAGTCGTCCGACGAAACGCTTGATTGAAGCACCAACAAAGAAGACGCTAGAATACTGGACGGGCTTGCGCAAAGCGACGACATCGATTCTGATGCAGCTTCGAACTGGGCGAATAGGCCTAGGGGCTTACCTGAATCGTATCAACCGACGCGAAACAGCGCGGTGTGATTGCGATCTTGGTAGCCAAACAGTGACACACGTCCTGCTGGAATGCCCCTTGCACCAGGACGAGCGAGACTGGATGAGAAGCGCTCTCTCATACCAGGGAGTCGCTCTCCACCGGGACGAACTCCTCACACGATCGGAGACCCGCACAGTTATGGCCGAATTCATGGTCAAGACCGGCCTTCTAGGCCAATTTCAGACAGTCGATCCCACGGCTCTAGGCGAGGAGCAGGGGGATGACAAAGGAGCGGAGAGAATGACCCCTTAGACAGTGTGACGGAAGAAGAAGGATGGCGCCCGTGAGGAGTGCAGTGCCAGGTCCTCTGCATTCCCTTGATCTAAGCGAGCGCGCAAGCGGCAGCCGACAAGACTGGACGGTTGGGGAGAAGTGGACGTCGGAACGGTGTGGTGAAGTGGCCAGGGCCTCCCACCCGCGATCAGGGGTAAATGACGTTCATTTTGGCTTTTTGTTTATCATGTTTGCATCCGTGCATTTCTTTTGTTCAATTTACATCTTTCCATTCGAGGGCGATTGACCAGAACTTCGTACGAGTTTCCAACGGTCGCCCAGTGGGCTGGCGACCACTTTTTCCAGCTGTCGGCAGGCCTGACAGCACCCCCGCATAGCAGCATATATATAGAGCGAGCTACATCGGGCAAATGAATACATCATCATCATCATCATCATACCAACAGTAGAGCGGGTTGTTTTTTGGGCATGAAGGAGTAAATTGGCCATATCTCTCAACATAGGCAGTGTAAGAGCAGCACCTCTGATATCCATATCCAATAGCCATTTTTCAATCGATTGCTCTTCAATTTCAGAGAAAATAAAGCGATTGTGCCGTTTTTCAGAAGCAGCTTCACGCCCATTAAGGCGGGCCTTCAAAGTTGAGACTGGTAAATCAAAAGACCGCGCAGCAGCTGCAGCAGAGGGATATTTACCATCTTTTATAGCTTTTATAGCTAATAAAAGACGGCCCTCCTGCTCTATTAATTTTTTTTTTCGATCAGACCGTTGGGGGGCATGATTATTGGGGTAAACAAGATATGTTATTTTTTGAGATGGGTTTTTAGTGGGGCCGCTCGGTCAATTCGGTCGCTCGGGCAATACGTTATCACGTTATTGGAAACACGGCTTACCAATGGATAAAGCCACCATGGATTGCTTTTCGGCGGATATATAGATCGAAACTAGTGAAGCCATACTTTGGTAGGCTGCTCCCAAAAACTGCTCTAGGGTATACCAGATTGGTTGTCTGCATTCTCCGTGATATGGAAGATGGCGGCCATAACCGAGTAGTAGGCGAATCGAACAGCCGATAATTCAGATTGAGCATCTAGCCCTTTCCATGCCGGATGCAGACGGGAGACCTATACAATCAGTTACTGACGCAAGTCAATTAAGACGCAGTATTTTCCTCACGTGCTCGATTCTCTCTTGAATCAGTTGCATATCCGCCAACCAATGTTCCCGGATTCCATGCAAAGTTGCTAAATCACCTCCTATCGACATTGATGACCGCCCCTTAAGATACGGCACGACAGCAGCCTGGACCCCAGCAAGTGCCATGTGAATCTGGAAGAGGTCCGCTATGGGACGCCGATAGCTGAATAGGCCTAAAGTGAAGTGACCAATATGAATGTCAAGTAAAGTTTTGAATCTCCCCATCTTGAAAGCAAAGTTTGTATCTAGCATATAACACCAGGCGAGACAGTAATACTGCTCTTCGCTCAGAGAGCCTCCTGTCTTCATGACAGTGTCAAGGCCCAGGCATACACACACCCTGCAGGCAGCTTTGGTAAGCTCCCAGCATATAGCGAGGTCTCCGGATCCTTGATGGAGAAAAATCTAATTTCATTAGATGCAATAATTTCTTCTGACTATTTGAATACTCACACCGGAGAGGAGTGCCTGCAAGAGTCCGAGCGAAGGTATCATCAAGAGAGCTGTGTTCTGAAGAGCTGCTTTGGCTGCCGTCTGGAATTGAACCAGGCTATTTGCCAGTTCGTGGATCAGTTCACTGTCAATTCCAGCGTGGATGATGGTGGTCAGAAATTTAGAGGCCATGGCATTGACACAAACAGTGCTAATGAGCAAGTCGTGAGGGGACCTAGACCTATGAAGGAGGGTAAGTGCCATTTGCTCGAGTGTTGCACCACAGATATGCCTGAAGTAATCCCCAACAAATGAGCCAAAGCTATCCTCCTTGATATCTAGTAATACCAAAATCAGCCTGTCACATTAGTCGAGCTCTACCAAGTATAAAGACGTACCCTTTATCATCCATGCTAATAATTCAATAGAAGGGGTTTCTGTTTGCTTCTCATTGACAGCGACTTCACTGGCAACGTGCGCGGAGCCCTCAAAGCTTTCTGAGGGTTGAAAAGCCCGCCTCAACCCCGATTCCAATTTCTGGCGGCTATTGACGGGGAGCCATTCCAGTTTGTCTCGGTGATATCGAATGGTGACATGAGAATCATGATGGGAGAGAGACTTATCGGAGCCGGGAGATGGCCCACGATATTGTTGATAGTCCGGCCTGGGATATCTGTTGGATGTGACTACAGAATTATCGTGTGGTCCTAATGATAGATTTTGCGCGTCTTGGGATCTTGAGGTTGGTCGAGATGACTTCGGACGTGTTTCACCGTTGCTTTCTATCACCGCAAGCCGAGTGGTTCTTTTGATTCTTTTTATGACTCGCTGACGTGAACATATGGCATTCCTGTCCTGGCAGTTACCACATGGGTTACCTCTGTCACAACGGACCTATGTTTAGTCAGTGAAAGTTTCCATACGAACTTATTGTAAAATAATTCAATCCATACCTTTCGAGTGAAGCACGAGTCGCACTGGGGTTTGTTTGTAGCCATTAGTATTGTTCGCGTGGCAATAATGGGAGACAAGTACCACTGGAAAAGGTGTAGAATGATTCTTTAGTAATTGTTCTGATGACATAGTGGTAGCTAACGAGAGAGATAGGCGCAAAGGAAAATAAAGAAAAATGTGTTTTCCATTCTGTATTTTCAAATTGAGGAAATCACTATATACAGTCAACTCTCGCTTATACCACGGTGGGATATTGCACATTCTTGATAATAACACATCCCTTGCTTGGATGGCCCCTTCATTCCAGTTTTTTCCATATAAATTGACAGAATATAACACATTTTGTTTTACCACACTTTCTTCCTCTCAAATCTGCTTAGTCAGCGCAATCAACCAATCAGAATGCCTCAATCTACAAGCTCTCCTACCCTCCCGACCCCACCCAAGCGCGTCAGAATGGGACCAAAGCGTACCAAATTGGGTATATCAGACGCGCAGAACCAGGCACTACGGGCATTTTGGTCTAATACTAGCCCAAAGCCCACGCAGACTGCATGTGCTAAGTGGTTTGAGGACCAATTCAAACAAGTGATTGACCGGTCAACCATATCAAGGATCCTTTCATCCAAATACAATTATCTTGATACGGGCCCTGCAGGGGCAAACAAACGATCTTCATCCTCTCATTGGCCATTATTGGACCAAAAGCTATATGACTGGGCAGATAACCAAATTGGCAATGGAATACCAATAAATGGCCCTTTGATCCAAACTAAAGCAGCTGAGCTTTGGAGACAAATACCGGAATACAAAGATCGGACCAAACCTCAATTCTCTGAGGGTTGGTTAACTCGCTTCAAACAACGCCACTCTCTTCAATATCATACTTTCCACGGAGAAGCTGCCTCAGTCCCATCCTCGGTACATGATCAGATCAAAAGCACCAAATCGATTTGCAATCAATTCAAACCGTCCGAAATCTACAATATGGATGAAACTGGCCTATTTTGGCGACGTATGCCAAATGGTGGTCTTTCAAAGGGAAAAATTGCTGGCAAAAAGCTTGATAAAACACGAATCACTATTGTTGTTGCATCAAATGCGGATGGTTCCGATCGAGTCCCTTTATGGTTGATTGGCACAGCAAAACCCCTCGCGCACTCCGGGGGGTTAATTTCCGAGCTCTGGGATGTGTTTGGCGTCACAACAAGGCAGCATGGATGCGTCATGACATTATGGAGGACTGGTTGCGATCTTTCTATGGGCGTATTCCCTTAGATAAGAAAGCTTTGCTCCTTTTAGACAATGCTTCACCACATGTTATTGGACTCCAGCGAGCGCCACCACCACCCCGGATTACGGTTGTTTTTTTGCCAGCAAACGCAACTTCAATTTATCAACCCTTGGACCAAGGTATTATCCAAAACTTGAAGCACCATTATCGGAAGAAATGGATGCGCTATATGATTGCTTTTCTTGATCGTGGGATAGACCCAAAACAAAGAATGAGCATTTATTATACTGTTACCTGGGTAACGCAAGTTTGGAGAACAAGTGTATCAGACCAAACGATTATCAATTGCTTTAAACAAAGTACTTTGATTAGTCCAAAGTCTATACCTATACCTGAGTCCGCGCCCGAGTCCGCACCTGAGTCTGCACTATTTTCCGAGCCCGGATTGAGTGATGAGATTGAAAGTCTATATAATCAAGCAATTGATAAGCTTGGTGATAAAGATATTGTGCCATTTGACGAGTTTTTGAACCCTTCGGACGAAGACATGTTAGAAGATGGGACTGAAGGGCGAGATGAGACCAATGAGCAAGATATATATATTGCCCCAACAACCTCAGAAATTCAGGATATTGACATTGATGGGCCCCCACCTGAGCTTCTGTCTAATTCTGCTATATTGGACAGCCTCCAGGATATCCTACTATGGGTTTGTAGCAAAGAAAAGGGTACCTCGGACCATATTAGACAAATTGAGAGCTTAATCAGCGACTTTGGCAGGATTCAGATTGATGAGAAACGTCAGGTGACTTTGGATCAGATGATGGGATGGAAGACTAAATAGGTATTAGGGCTTAGAGTTAGCTTGTCAAATATTATGTCATCCTCTCACCAAAACACAACTCAATTATACCACGTAATTTGGCTTGGATAGTATGCTGTGGTATAAGCGAGAGTTGACTGTATATGGATGCACCAACCTCTAGGTATCGCTATACTGCTGAACTTTTCTCGGGAAGAGGCCTGCATATAAATAACTGTAAAAAATATAAAATTACGTTGTTGCATGGAATCTAAACATTATTGGCTTCCTAGGTATTCCAGATTACGCTTCAGAAAGGCGCACTCTCTGAAAATGACCCGGAAAATGGCGTCATGTAACAGCTAATTAAAATTGCATTCTGCGTTGGCTAATCATGTGCTCCGCAGTGGTTTCTCGAAAAGTGTGTTAGATTGTCAGAGGAAAGTCCAGAACAACGCCAATGGCTTGCTGTACCGAAATTAGACGTTAAGCGGAGCGGAGAATTCTTCCATTATCTTAAGCTTTGGATTCATTTGATGAAAAGTCAATTCTATTTATTTTCATGAGCTGCCGGGTGTCCTGGTAAAAACCAGTGAACCTAATCCCGGTTAACGTATTTCCCTAGCGAGCTGCCCCCCCCCCCCGAGCTGGCCACCCCAAAACACCATAGTAAATGCGATAAATTACAACATAGTATCACAACAACGGCAGGTTATAGGGACTTTTCCTTAAAAGCTAATGCTTTTTAGGTGGTATTTAGTCTACAACGGGAGTTTAAAGAATTTCAATAACTTAGTAATTGAGATATAATCAGATATTTATTGGTGACCTCACGCAGTCAAGAGGAGCAAGAAGAGTGTAGTTTGGCCATAACGGGTCACCTGTCGCTGCGGTCGTAGACCGTAGCGTCAGATAGGGCCCGTTCGCGCTCCCTTGTGGGGAGGCAATATGTCTGTATTGTAGTGAATTCTATATACAGAGGGAAGGCGGGAGGGACAAAATCAAGACTTGACTGCGTGAGAGATGACGAGCTACCCGCAGAGGTAAGGAACTGACTCTCTTGAGGCAGTTGTAGGAGGAAGAGGCCCTCAGTAGTGTCGGTGTAGATATCACGTGAGGCCACGGGCATTGTGAGGCAACCCCAATAAAACTACTCCCTTTACGAGTCGCGTTGGCAGCGGCCTTCGGCCGCTGCTACGGGGCGCGGCGAGTAGGATGGTAGGGAGTTTCATTCTTGAAATATCGATGTTATCGGACTAAATAAAAGTTCTCAACGTAGGTTCTATATATGTGAATCTCGAACGTCGGCATGGTGGCTGCATAAAGGTCGAATTTCGCCCCATTATCTGCTGTCACAGAGGCAGTAGCAATTCGTGATAAACGACATTAATGGTGTCTTGCTCTATGTCATTTGGGTCTCGGAGAATACGGATGTCTACGGCAGAGCGGACGCGGGATAAGCTAGTGTAAAGTTGGCCATGGGCGAAGACCGGCAGGGTGAGATCTAGCACAACCCGGTCCAGGGTGAGTCCCTGGCAGCTGTTGAAGGTGGTGGCATAAGCTAGACGCAGCGGAAATTGCCGCCGTTGCACCGTCCAATTCGCGCGGTGAGGCCGAAACTCGAATGTGATCCGTGGCAGGTAGAACGTCGGCGACTCGGTGTCAGGCGTGCATGCTCGTTGCAGTAACCGTACCTGCACGACATTTGGTAGCAGGTTAACCACCTGGACCCTCACGTTTTTGACCAAGTTTTTCTCGATGGAGAGATTCCGCATCACGCTAGCAACGGCGCCAATCTTGAGTGAGAGCTCATGCGGGGGTATTCCGGGCTCGTTCAATACCGAGAGAAGATCCGCCTCTGCACCCGTGGGGAGATTGAAGGTGGAATCGTCTAGTTCTTTAATCGTATCATGACTGTAATAGGTTTCTGGCGCAGTGCAAGGTTAGCCAGAGGAGCGTGAAGGGTGAGTTGCGTCAAGCGATTAGAATCATGTTACAGGGAATAGTCATTAGCAAAAGTCGGAATACCTGCACGCCCCGGTAACCGTTCTAAGATGAGCTTATTAAACAGATCAACGCGCGCGTTAAACGGGCTAAGGAATGCGTGCTGGACAGCAGCGGCGGAGGTAGAGACGGAATCTTGTGGGAAGAGGAAGTCTGCCGCAGCGTCAAGGTCGTCAAGATGCTGCAAGTGATGCAGTGGCACACTTGTCTCATAGGGGTGTACACCATCTCCTACCTGGTCCACCCATCTTGCGTATACCGGATCCCCGGCCTGTCGGACCGGGGTAGTCAGCCGCAGGACCTTAAAGTGGTTCCAGAGCGTGGAGGTGCGGATAGAGCTGTTGAGAGTTGCTGTAGGCCCAGAACTTCCGCGGACGACTGGTGCCACCTGACGAAAGTCCCCTAGTCCGATGAAGAGTTTTCCTCCAAATGGCAGGTCATTCCTCATGATATCTTGAAGGAGCTGGTCTGCACACTCCACGACCGCCTTCTTCGCCATCGGCAGCTCCTCCCAGATCAGGAGCGAGGCCTGGCGTAGGAGCTCTGCACGACCTGACTGGGGACTGACCTTAGACACCAAGCCCATGTCAGACTCCTGAACAGGAATGCCAAAGGCCGAGTGGGCCGTCCGACCCCGCTCGTAATGGATCACACTGAGGGCGGTGGTTCCAGTCACGCATACGATGCGCTCGTCTGCCCTAATGCGATCACACATGGCGCTCATCAAAAATGTCTTCCCGCGACCCGCACGGCCGTCGATGAAGTAGCAGCCGCCAATGTCCGATTGGTCTAGGAGATGATCGAAGATGCCTTTCTGATCCGAGTTCATCCTACCGTAGGCCTCCTTATGCCTCCCGCGGATAGATACCAGTTGGGTCTGGAAGAAGGCAAGTTCCAAATCCACCTCCGCACAACGTTGAACGGGCTCCGGTAGGCCACACTGTGCCAAGGACGATCCCTGTGCTGAGAGATAGCGTGCCAGGTCCTGCAAGGCAAGGTCTGTGGCGTGGGCCGTAGGGTGACGTAGTCTATAGTCAGCATTGAGATTGCCGTGGAAGCGGGACCATAGTTCCACAGCTGGAAATGGAAGGTTAGACAGAAGCTGGGCAAAGAGAAAGCGGAGCTGGGACGGGCGGCTGTAGGCTGTGATCGCTTCATTCATCGCGTACACGGCCTCGTGGTTATCCTGGAAGAGTCCTAACTCAGTGGCAGCCTCCTGGTATGTGGGATAGCAGTGCCCCCGGATAGTGCGGACATCTTCGAAGCTGTTCGTAGGCCGCACCTGGAGTAGTGCGCGTAGGTAAAACGTTTCCTTCAGACGAAGTGGGACGGTCTGAAGTCGGGTGATAATAGGCTGGCGGACTCGACGGCGTAACACCTTTTGGCATGGTCCCTTTTCGGTGGTGACAGTAGCAATGAGGGTCTGACCTCGGTGTAGTGGAACATCCAGGGGCACCGTCTCTAGGTAGTAAAGGCTGAAGAACTCGGTATACTTCAAGCCTGAGAAGGTTTCTGTGGATGGGCGTTTGAAGTACCACAACAGGTCGCTCATCTCGGAGTGACCCGGTTGGTTTCGATCGTGCATCCTCCCTAAGTTCTTGCCTTCCAGATGGACAGAGAGGCAGCGGACGCCAGGACGTTTGGAGACAGTATGGAAGTTGAGGATGCGGTAGACAGCCTCGGACGAAGAGAGGTAACGGGCGTTCATATAGTCTCTGAACTCATCTATTTGGTCGTCCTCACCGTCTGCCCGGGCATCGTGGAGGGCCCGAATACCAAAGCGCGCCCGATCGGGTCCTTTGAAGAGGTACTTAAACAGGTAAAGGAAGATCGTCGCTGTAGAGCACACGTCCGCATAGATATGGCAGTCGAGCAGGTGCACTAGGGCGGGTACATGAGGAGTCACCCATCGATCTTCCTGCTTGCGTCGGCGGTAATGGACACGACCAAGATCATCCATGTAAGTCTGGTTGTTGATAGGTTGAGGGTACTCGTAAATGCAGCGGCCGTCTCGGTTGCAGCGTGACGTGGACCGGTCCAAGTGGTTCTGTGAGTGCATGTGGAATCTGCCGATCGCTGCATGTAGGGCAGGGTCCTCGTCCGGATCTGGTAACTCGGCGCAGATGAAGCCATCTAGTTGGCTCAAAGGTAATTCATGTTGGAGCTTAACGACCAGATGCGCGTGTGGTAGACCCCGTTTCTGGAACTCTGTAACGCATATCTCGTACAGGAGGCCTCCAAATTTCTCCCTCATAAAGGCCTTCAGCCCACAGAGTCGTCCGTGGAATGCACGGCACACCACCGCAGGGATGTCTGTGAAATGTTGGCCTGGGAGCAACTGGGACTGAATCTCGGGCCAGTTAGGGTTTGTCGTCATGGTGAGGAACAGTGACGGCGTGGCCAGCTGTCGCGCGATCGCGAGGGAGTCAGCCACCTGGTCCGAAGCCCAGGCCCGGGACCCCATGAAACCGGCAGGGATTTTGTTCTCGAAGAGATCGGGGATGTCAGGATTTGGAGCCTCATCCATGGCAGCAGCTTGCATGCGTCGGCCCCGTTTGAGATAGTGCAGGCGCTCCTCCTCCGTCCGCGAGAACATGTCCACAGCATATTCACACGCCAAACGGCCATAGATCCGCATGCGTGGCTCGCCCAGGAACAGGTGGCGGTACCATTGGATCTGCGTGCAAGGTATGTTTTTCTGGGACTCGTCGAGAAAGCCCCAACCTCGCGTGCCATGTGGAAAGAGAAGTGGATATTGCAGCGGCTCGTACTGGCAAGACAGGGTTGGAACGAACCGTGGCTGCTGGCCACCTTTTCTGTAAAAGACGACCTGTCGCGGGGCTACGCGGCGGAGATTTTCCGTAGTGATAACTGCAGCGAGCTCACCACCCGCAGGCGGGATAGAGAGCTCAACAGCGAGGGCGACTGTTTGGTCCGGGACCTGACTGACGGCGTGCCGCAAGGTCCGCACATAGGGATTAACCAGACCGAGAAACTCGCGTATCCCATGTAGAATGTCATTAGGGATGTCATGATCCCTTGCCCGTAGACCTCGTTCGGACTCGTCATAAAGAAACCAGTGCATGCTGTGACCCATATCCGCGACATCCAGCAAACGGTGGTAGATCCGGCCTTCTAGGACCACGTTCGCTTGACCTTGGAATCGAACGAATTGGCCAGTGGTGCCGATGGCGGAGAAGGCAAACAGGTTATTGAGCCGACGGCTCATGGCAGACACACTGCCTTGATACCGGTCCAGGAGAGACTGCACAGCTGGCGTGAATGGTGGTAGGTGAGGTAAGCGTCTGCGGCCTCGCCGACAGCACCAGCCATCAGCCTCAGTGGAAAGAAGGAGCACACCGCAGAAGGAGTAGTCCCTTGACCAGTCCTGAGAGAAGGGCCGGACTGCAGCCTGGGCAAGGAGTTTCCACCATACTGGTTGCACTGGAATAATAGGCGGTTGACGGATATAAGGAAGCGGGGGCTCCCCTTGCGCGTCAGGGTTAACCGAAGCATGTACAGGCAGCGGACGATGCCGCCGCCGCCGCATTCGAGCTTTATGGCGGCAGTCATCACAGACCCTATACCGAGCAGATTGCCAAGGTCGCGCACAGCCCGAACAGAGCACACGCTGTTCAGAAAGGGCGGCGTCTGTAAACGACGGACGAACAGTAGGAGCAGCAGGAAGCGAAGACGGCACCGCGGTGGGAGCTTGGATTTTGGACGTGGACAGCCGGTATCGTTGCAGCTCCCGACAGCGAGAGCAAGTTTTATATCGACTGGACTGCCAAGGACGGGCGCAGCGAGAACATAACACCCGCTCCCTGATGCAGACGCCATCCGCAGTCAGAAGCATGGCGGGTCAAAGGCGTAGAGGACCTTCCCGGACGGGCAGCGAAAGGGTCGTAGAAGCCAGGCGCGGCATGTTCTCTGTAGAAACGGTGAAACGGTGAAACGCTGGCGGGTGAGGCCCAACGGCACATGCGGCTCGTCGGGCCACAGGGCAGGGGAGGGATCCTTAGACACGACCACAGACCGCCCGCTCTACGCCCACCAGCAATGCGAGACGGCGGCAGTGGCATGAATCACCCATGGAGCAGCGCAACACGCCCCACGCGAACACGCGACGGAGGTGGAACGTCCTCACGTGAGGCGAACACTGCAGGTGGTCACATGGGGTCCAATAAGTTTCTTAAAGTTTCTTATATTTCTAGCTCCTAGCAACGTAATTCTCGACACCGTAACATGTAGGTTTCAGATTTCGTCAAAATTAACATATAGTGTTGAAAAGCCTTATCAATGGCTATCGGCAAATAATTAAATAAAATAAAAACGTGGTCGTTGAGATATCAGTGTAGAACATATCATATTTACTATGGTGTTTTGGGGTGGCCAGCTTGGGGGGTGGCCAGCTCGCTAGGGAAATACGTTATGGCGTGTTATTTTAGTCTGGGAAGGGGAAACTGAGTTTCCAGAGAAGGCTTCGCTGGATGATGGGATCCAAAAGTTGGCCAGCGCCCCTCTCTGCCCACCAAACCCCGAACACATTGAACAACGAGCAAGTTTAAGGAAAGCTTATATACGAATTATTCTTCAAAGAGGAGCAACCATTTGTTCCAAGACCCAGTTTCGAGTATTTAGGGGCTTTATCTGCGGGGTTTGACCCCTATCACTTAGTTAAAGCTTCACCGCTATCGCCACCTAATTTATCACGGGAAATAGCGGGATTTTAAGTTACCGGAGTACTCCCTACAGGTACGACGTCTCCTGACCATCCGATCCTTCTATAAAGGGATAAAAAAATCCACCTTTCATTAGGGACGAACATTTGTATCTCCTGGTCATCCTAAGAGTCCCAAAATCCACAATGAGGTTCACCTCTTCGATTGCACTCTTCTCTGTTTTCTCCGCCGCATTCGGCTATTGGGTATACACCCCTAACTTATCTTCATTTTCTATAGTCTCCCTACAGAAATAATGACTAACAAATTAATATTAGAACTGCGTGGTTGATCAACCAACGCCTTGTTCTGGGGCTGTTGATGCGGGACCTTCAGTCAGTATACTTCTTGTAATTAAAGTACTAGCTAACATACCCCGATTTAATAGGAATGTGTAACAATCGGTCCGGGAAGGTGCGTTGGAAATGGAGATGACCACGGATCATACGATTGCAAAGATGTATGTGTCATGACCTCTCTGCGCCCGACGGCGGAAGGGAAAAGACTCGGGCGATGACTTAGTTCGGAAGTTATACAGAATGGAGATACAGAATACTAATTGGCACAATAGGATCACCGTTGCATTACCCAGGGAAATGGATGTATTCCATTCCCGGGGAGCAATAATGCCAACTGTTCTTAGGTGCTTTGTCGATGCTATCTGGCCAAAGAACCGTATCCCCTCGTCCGTCCTTTTGTCACAATTAGCATGGTCCTTAGCGGCATAGACTAGCACAATCTACAATGCATAATAATTGGCCAATGGCGTCTAATTGCAGTACCCAGGTGTTATAGTGTAATAATCTAGATAGCATTTCTAACCTACCGGTGCAGTAGAGAAAAATTACCATGAGTAGCCATGGAGATATATATTTACGTCTCAAATGTCAAAATCATCTTGTATTTTATGCTAAAGTCTCCAAATAATAGTCCGAAATTGGGTTTCGATCGTTCCTCCCCTCCGCATGCTCTTTGAACACTTTCGGTGGGTCCACTGAGAGCGATTCCTCAAGATGGAGACGAGACGGGCTGACCCTCTGCGTACTAATCTTTCTCGCGCAAATCCTCAGACTAAATAAACCTGGTAATTTACAAGGTTTGGTTGGCACCGGCCCATCCAGTGAGCCCACTTGCGGACAACCCAACAGCAGGCCTCGACTACGTTTGTTGTTAGGTTGCCGTGACACCTGAAGTAACTTATGCTCGTAGTTATCCAAGGGATGAGCTTTACAATTACATCTGGTTACCGTTGTTGAAATCATTTTATAGCAGACTGTAGCGGTCTGAATTCTCAAGAACTACTACGGCTAAAATAGGTCCGAAGTCTAGGCACATTCCGCTGCGTATGACCTAATAAGCTGCCCAGGGCCAGCAGCGGGGCAGTAAACATTGCCCACACCCCCGGGGCAACCTGTGCATGTCTGCGTACCAGCACCATCCATGTCAGTTCCACGCCCCGGACAGTTTACGCACAACCCGCTGTCCTGAACATTGTATACACAATTGGTGCAGTCCTTTGCTGCAAGGGCTGAAAGTGACAGTCCCAAAAAAAGGGCGATTGAGGTCATCAGTCTCATAACGGCAACCTAGTAATCAGTTAGAACCTTTATTTATTGAGGTAAAGTCCTCAGTCCTACCTTAGAGCAAGGTAGAAATATCAGCTAAGGTATAGGCGGTCGCAGGATGAGACGTTAATAGAGATAAGTCACTTGAAAAAGTATGTTAGTCTGAATGGTGCTTCATATTTCGAAGGCAAGAAGTCCGAAATTTAGGGATACTCACAATACGTTCGTGAAAGCTCAAAGCTATTCTAAAATAACACGAACCAGAGAAGCAGTATGTGTCCGATTTGGTTAGGAGACCTGATTATATAGGGGCGAAGGTACCTACTTCGCTTATTTTTCTTCACCAGTCCCAATTTCTCATGTCTCACAATAGGAAGAAATGATTCCCAGTTGAAATCTAGATTAAAATTTGACTCCCTAAGCAGTACGCTATTCACTCCTTTCCAATGCCCCGGTATCAAGATAAAACTCTCGGTAGTGGGTCCTAAATTGAATATTTGGAGGGTCAAATGCGCTTTAAAACAGCAAGCTTGGTTAATGGTCTCTATCACCGAGTTGACGCCACAACGTTGCGTCGAAGATCTAGGCGATCTGTGCGCAAGACAAAACCGTCGAGCTACTATTATCGAAGAAATACCAACGTAGACGGATTCTTTAGAGTCAATTGCATAGAATTGAAGACTCATTTTCTAAAACTTGCGCAGTTCTACAGTAGGGTGCATTACCGTGGTGGGCTCCGTCATTGGGGGTGCAACTATACTGGGTGAAGTCTGCGCCCCGTTTAACAAAAGCAAGTGTCGGAGCAAGCTGAGAGAGTGGGCTAGTAATCCTATGACGGATAAGGGCGAGGATGAGGGCAAGCGGAACCAATTTTGGATGCAAAGGTTGATTGATTGAAGAAAGAATGAATATCATGGGGCAGGTCGAAATTCATGGATGGCTCAGGTACACGGTGTTACGACAACCGTAATATCAGGGAAACCGAATTACTCGATAGCGAAATACAAGGTCCCTGCGTTTTATCGAAGAGAGCAACGATACACATATTTGCACCGCTTATCACATATCTATTACCACCCATGACCTTCCCGGCCTGATTTTGAGAGCTTTCAAAGAGCCAGTAAATAGATACCTCAACTATTGACGCTCGACCTCACCTGTTGCTCACCCTAAATTACTCAGTGATATGCGAAACTGAATGACAGATGAACCTCGAAACAAAATATTGCAGAACCATCTAGTGTATTCTGGATACATTGGGTGCTAGTAGAGCTGATTGAAATTCTAGCGTGACGTTTTTGCGACTGTATACCATTTGAGGCACGGGAACGCGATAATTTGATTCCAAGTATTGCTATCAACTGATGTTGGGGTAGCAAATTTCGTGCCATATCACTCTAGCTACCTAAAGTGAATATCACTAGCTCGTACAGACCACCACCCATGCTTCTTCTTGGCGACGGCGCCACGGCGCCAAAAACGTTTGGCGGGAGTTGCGGTCTTCTATCCTGCTCCGAATGGCCTCGCGATGCTTTCTTATTGCAGTGGATTCACCAGCGAACGCTGGAGCCAGATCTGTCTTTCCCACAGCTAGCCTTTTCGTGAGACACCCCATCGTCTTGCCTACCAAGCCACGTCAGGCACCGCCATCTCTTGTTCTAGTTTAGCGGACTCGGATCTGGTTTAGTGGCCCCCAGAGCAGTTTGACGCCTCCGGCTATCCCCAAATTGGGATCTGCCACCTCCAACCGCCTGCTAGCCTCACCTTTGGACTATATAATTTCCAGTGCGTCGCTCGATCATCCTCCTCTCTTTGACTGACCATCCCTCTCTTTCCCATCACGCCCAGCGGTGATGTGATACCGTAACTCCGGATCGCACGGCATTCCGTTCCCGGGGCCTCCCGGTTCCAGCTGATTTCTTCGTCGTCGCCTAGACGTCTCCTCTTCTCTCGGTTGCCTGTAGATGGATCCATCCTATCCTTGCTCAGATTGGGCCGCTGCATTGCTGGTCCCAGTTTCCCGCGATATCGGTGGCGGAAGCGAGCCTGTCATAACCAGTCATAATCAGTGTGGTCCGGGGTATAAAGTGTAAAGCGAAAAAAAAGTTTGGATGGCGGGAGCCGGTCCACTTGCCTTTCGTAGTCCTCGGAGTCAATTTCGTTCGACGCCTGGCTAGATCATCCAATCTGCAGCCTTCGTCAAGCGTAGCGCTTCCGGTGCGGCTGCGGTTGTGGCCAGGAATCGCAGAGATATCCTTCCTTGTAAATCTAACTAGTGAAATATACAGATATACCTGGACGCTGTCTTCTGCTTGAACGGCAGTCGTTGACGGGCCACCTATTGCTGTGACATATCCTGCGGATGCAAGAGTGAGACGAAACGCTCTACTCAGGCGGGATCTTACCGAGAATTGCATAAGCACGGATCAACGAGGACTCCGTACACTCGTAAGGAGTGCATCGAAAGTTGAGGCGTTGTTGATTCTCAACGAACGTAGCGCATCAAAAAGTGAGGGCTTTTTGGTCTTCAGAACTTTGAAGTGGTGCGAGTAGTGAGAGTCTGATACCGGGTCACCAGGCTAGGCCAAAGCTCATAACACACAGTAGTCGGCTTTTACCTGCCACACACACCACACTATAACCTTTTAAACTCAACAACCTTACACCTTCCAAATCACTTTCTGCTGGTCTTGTTCGCTCGTTTCGGCCACTTTCGCAACTTGCCCGAGCATCACCATGCCCCCACGTAGCGCACACGGCTGGCCAGAATGGGAGGAGAAAAACCTTCTCCCATGATTGGATGCCCATCCGGAGCTGTCGTGGAAAGCCCTCTCCGACGCATATTATGAAGTTTCTTTTCACATGCCATCCACGTATAGTAGGGGGTTTGGAGGTACCCAAGGGTACATTTATGCGGCCCACGCGGCTGACTGCAAGGAAGAAGTCGAGATGGCGATGATGAAAAGCTCGATCTCTTGAGTGTCAGTACTGTTGACATAATGTGGGAAATTGTAATTACCTCGAGTGCAATCATCCATGATTTGCCTAGCATACCTATGATGGCAACCATGATGATGATGATGATGATGTATTCATTTGCCCGATGTAGCTCGCTCTATATATATGCTGCTATGCGGGAGTGCTGTCAGGCCTGCCGACAGCTGGAAGGTGGTCGCCAGCCCACTGGGCGACCGTCAGGGAACTCGCCTTGCGAATTTCTGATCAATCGCCCTCGAATCGAAAGACGTAAACTAAACAAAAGAAATGCACGGATGCAAACATGATAAACACAAAGCCAAAATGAACGTCATTTACCCCTGGTCGCGGGTAGGACCAGGGCCCCGCTTCAACACACCATTCCCACGCCCTCTTCTCTCCAACTGTCCAGTCTTGTCGGCTGCCGCTTGCGCGCTCGCTTGGATCAAGGGAGTACAGTGGACCTGGCACTGCACTCCTAATGGGCGCCATCCTTCTTCTTCCGTCACACTGTCTAAGGGATCATTGTCTCCGCTCCTTTGTCGTCCCCTTCCTCGCCCAGAGCCGTAGGGTCGACTGTCTGAAATTGGCCTAGGAGGCTGGTCTTGACCATGAATTCGGCCACAACTGTGCGGGCCTCCGGTCGTGTGAGGAGTTCGTCCCGGTGGAGAGCGACTCCCTGGTATGAGAGAGCGCTTCTCATCCAGTCTCGCTCGTCCTGGTGCAAGGGGCATTCCAGTAGGACGTGTGTTACTGTTTGGCTGCCAAGATCGCAATCACACCGCGCTGTTTCGCGTCGGTTGATACGATTCAGGTAAGCCCCTAGGCCAATTCGCCCAGTTCTAAGCTGCATCAGAATCGATGTCGTCGCTTTGCGCAAGCCCGTCCAGTATTCCAGCGTCTTCTTTGTTGGTGCTTCAATCAAGCGTTTCGTCGGACGACTGGTCGTTTCCTTGGCCCACGTTCTGTCCCACTCCAGCTTCGCTTCTCTGCGAATTCGTCGTCTCGCTGCGGCTGCGAGACGTATGTCTCGGTTGAGAGGGTTATGCAGCCCGTCCGGTTCCTGCGCCGCTTCTTTTGCGTGTTGGTCCACGATCTCGTTGCCAATGACTCCTTGGTGCGCAGGAATCCATCTGAGTTCTGTCCGAATACTTCTGCCGGCAAGTTGTAGGATCAGGTTGAGGCATCCTGCTAGATAGACCTGTCCTGACGGCATCCGCGGTCGCCTCAGCGCCTTCAGCGCTGCTTGGCTATCTACAAAGATGACTACACCGTTCTTCGCCTGCTTAGCCCATGGCTCTGTGCTTTCCAGAACCATTTCAAGTGCCATCTCAATGGCTCGAAGCTCTGCCGCATATACGGTGGACGTATCATCATCTCCCATCTGGCTATGAGCATGTTGATCCTCAAGGTCCACGACCGCTGCCGCTCCGATCCTTCCATCAATTCCGCTCCCGTCGGTGTACAGAATCAAGGGTCTTTCTTCTGGGTCTTTCATCAGGATCTGGTTGTGATTGTTGACCGCAGCTTCTCTGTCCTCGATGATTACCTCTGGTGGCGCTTGCCATGGTGCCAGGACGAATGCCTTTCGACTCTCCCATTTTCTTGCCAAAGTATCCGGGGGAGCCATAAGACATCCGTCCGCCTTCCAAGCTTGCGCCTCCATCGGTGACCATCCAGCCCAGTCTCTCTCATCTGCCGGTCGGCGACGTAACATCGTTGGCGGGACAGCGAACTCTGGTCCTGTCCGTAGTCGAAGGGCCGTTTCTTTCACCAGTCGATTCATGTGAACAGAAATAGGCGGTAGGTGAAGCTCTGCATTCAGTGCCTCTGCTGCCGTAGTTCTGAAAGCTCCACTGATGAGACATGCTGCCTGCTTTTGGATTGCCACGAAAGGCCGACTGATTATGCGTGCCTTGGAATGACTGATGAGCATAGGTTGATACCACGCGGAAACCCCAAAGAGCATCTGCGGGATGATCACCGCTTGGTAGATCTTTCGCATTGCATAGAGTGAGGCTCCCCACGTTGATCCTGCCAGGCTTCGTAGTGCGTGGAGAGAGACACCGGCCTTGGCCACCGCTTTCTCGCGGTGATGGTGGAATTCCAGACCCGGATCCAGCCAATAGCCTAGGTACCGCTCAGCCGTCCTCGTCGCTGTCACCGTGTGTCCTCGTAGAGAAAGCGATGTGTATTGTGGGTCGACTTCCCTGGTGTTTACAAAATGCATGAGTGCATACTTCTTCGGGTCAAAAACTGATGCATGTTTCTCGGCCCATTGGTCGGCTTTGCGGCATGCCGCTCTGAGTTTCTTGATGGTTTCGCGTTCGCTGTCTCCCTTTGTCATGAAGCAAACATCGTCGACCTACCCGTTGCTAGTCACACCGTTACCGCAGTTCTCAACGAGGTCTGCGTTGTAGATGAGATATAGAATGGGTGAGATCGGTGATCCTTGAGGGATGCCTGTAGGTGTCAGGATTCGATCAGATGAGCCCTCGGGCATGCGGATCCGTGTGCTTCGATTGCTCAGGAAGGCCCTCACCCAGGGAACGAAGTGTCCCAGACGTCGTTTCTTGAGGTTGTGTAGTAGACGTTCATGGGAGACATTGTCGTACGCTCCGGACACGTCCAGCATCAGCAGAGACACCACTGGCTTGCCCTTTCCCCATGCAGTTTTGATTCGGTCGATGATAATGTGGATAGCATGATCGGTGGATATGCCCTTTCGCCCGCCTAGATGGGTTCGTGGGAGTAAACCGTTGGTTTCTGCTGCGTAGCTGATCCGTCGCGCGACAACTGCCTCCAGAACTTTCCGAGCGTGTTCAGCAGCGCGACGGGTCTGTAGGATTTTGCGAGCTGGTAGTCACTTTTGCCTTGCTTCCGGAGCACCACCGTGATTGAGCGCTGGAAATGTGACGGGTTGTATCCCGTGTTTATGCATGCGTTGAATAACTGGACCACTGTTGCTAGAACCACCGGTATCTCGATAAGCTTGTGCCAGAGAGAGTTTGGTATACCGTCTTCTCCGGGTGCTTTCCCTGCTTTCGCCCCTCGCACCGCCTCCTGTATCTCTTGAGCGGTGACTGCTGGAAACTCGATTTGCTGTGGGTACTGGAATGAGTCCGTGTCGGATAGATCGGCTGGCGGCGGTTTGGGGAAGAAGGCAATCCGGAATGCCTCTGCCTTTTGATCAACTGTTTCTGCGAGAGTTCCAGGCATTTGGGGATCCTGTATTTTCAGCGAAGGGGTGATACCCTTCTCGTAGGCCCCATCTCGGTTTCTTGCCCATTTAGCCAATCGCCACATACCCTGTGGGCCATCTTCAATGACCTGCTGGACTCGGCGCCGGTGCGCCCTTGACAAGGTTCTCTTGACGAGTCGTGTTTTTCTGTTGCGTGCTTCAGAGTAGCACATCCAGTCGTAGGGGTCTTGAGTTCTCGTATGTTTGCGACGGAGGCGACGAACCTCTTTGACCGCAACTTTACACTCGTCGTCAAAGTCGGGGTTCGACCACGCGGATGGTTTTGCCCATGGGGTTGATTCCTCGATTGCTGTTTGGATCGCTCCCATCAGCTCCTGGCATTTGGCTTCTATCCTTTGCGGATTTGCCCGGTATAGGCCTCCTGTCCGTAGACCTCCTTCGATCTTCTGGATGAGTTTCTGATCATCAGTTGCGTTCCAGTTTCTTCTCTTCTGTTGTACTGCAATGGGTGTAATAATATCAAGCACAGTCCTGATCGGGAAATGGTCGGATGCGTGTTCGATGTCATCCGCCCTCTCGCAATTGATAAGCCTGTTGACAAGGTTGGATGTGATGAAGGTGAGGTCAATCACCGACGACTGATCGTTTCGAGACCAGGTAGGTCTGCCTTGTTGGGTCGTCAACTCGAGTCCCCATTCATTGGCGATTTCTAGGAGTTGCTCGGCCTCCTGATCGGGCCTGGTCCCTGTTCCTCCCCATCTCGGGTGATGCGGGTTCATATCTCCAAGGATGATGTGTTCTCCATGAGGTCGTTTTGACAGCTCAT